ATCAGATCGGATCATTATTATAGCCAGAATGAAGAAATAAATTTTCAGTTGTTTCCCCCGCCCCCTATCTCTTTCTCGCTCGCACCTGCTGCTGCGTTCAGTTTTTCGAGCTACCCCTAGCGGAGATGTAGAATCTAAATGGTACATGTACAATCTACATGTTATATGTAGAATATACTTTGTATATGTAGATAACATATGTAGCAAAAAAAATTTTTTTTCTTAATTCTAAATATCTAAAAAATCATAAGCTCGAAAATGTATATACTGACTGAGTACGGGTATAAGTAGAGTCGTGTCCCCAGAAGCGACTCACAAGTTCCTTCTCGTTTTACTTTGTATTCAAGGCTGCAGCAGCGCGAACCAGTTGGGAATTCGAGGGACATAAAAAAATAATATAAACATATTTAAAATAAATACAAAGATATTTAATTTCATTTAATATGGAATATTTAAAATAAAAAGTTTTCCTTTTGATTTTAAAGCAAACATTATTATATTTAATTTAAATATGAAACATATTTAACTACAAATTTAATATATTATAGTTATTTTGAAGTGTTCTGTATTTAGATTAAATATGACCGTATTAAAAAAGCATTTTTAATACACTTATATTTGAATTCTATATAATTTTACTATGTTTGTATTTAAAAACGCATTTTAAATTCAAATATGATTTTAGTCAATTTTACTATGCCTTTTTTCTATCAGTGTATGTATCTGCTTTAGCCTGGATAAGGTAACCCATATACTGATGTCTACGTGTGCGATTATGTGTGTGTAATTGTGTATGTGTTAGTGAATATAAATCCCAAATCAGGAGGATTCAAAGGATACTGAACTTATGCTGCACAGCCATGAACCCCAAGAAAAAGAAATGTGCAAAATTAAATGAAATACAAATCAAGTGTCAATCGAATAAGGACACAGACATGCGAAAAATATTTAATGATGTACTTTCTGGGTAAGATAATACAATTAATTTATGTTTAAAAAATATATGTCTGTACCATATATGAGTATATATTTTGTATCAATATACATTTACGATTCTGTCCGTTGCGTCTGTCTAAAGCGTCGCGACGGAACGGAATTTGTGCGGTATTTGGTCGATCGTTTGCAAATGCAACCATAAAGAGCAGAAAATGGTGGTAAGTATAAAAGATGTATTTTTAATTTATAACAATACCATTAATACTAGACAAAAATGAAGCAAAAAAAAAAACAGCTGGTGGCAGGTTGAAGTGTCCTGCCGAGATGGAGAACCTGCTTATAGATGTCTGGCAGGAGAACATTGACGATATTCGGGGACCACGTAAAAATGGAGATGGCCCAGTCCATGAAGGAGGCTGGGCTCGATATGGAGTGGTCGTAAGTTCGAACCAAGATTGAAAATTTGACGAAAAAATACAAGTATGTAAATATTTATTTATATTGAAAACTAAAAATTGTCAAGAGTACTAGGAGTTGCAGGATTGAAAAAAAAAATTGGACCAAGCGTTAGTGCTCCATTGCGATGGCAGCATTTTGATACATAGAATGTGGGCTTCTCCATTCTGAACGTTGTTATCCAGAACATCCTTCTCTCAAAAAGTCCCATACCGCTCTAAAACACATAGCACACACCCTTCTTGACATATTTGTATTGAACAAATTTAGCATTGCAATGAACTCTTCCTCCTCGAATTCATCTATGTTGCTTTGCTTTCTGTCCAACGCCACTAACAATTTTTGCAACAACATGTTTTGTTGTGGAACCACGGCTAAAACAATTGTCAAATAGTCTATATTAAATTATTATAAATTCATAATCAAGAGCACAATGTTGTGATCAGCTGTTTCCCATGGATGGTTGATGGTGCCAGAGGGAATCGGAGTTTCACATCTGTTCAAAATTCCCACCGTTCCTCATATATGTATGTGTTGTGTGGGAAAAGGCTATTATGCAGTTATTGTTCATTTTTTCAAACATAAAATCAATTACATCGGCGCTGCGATCGTTATTGCAGGGCTTCACGACAAAACTCATATGAAACTGAAAATCAATTTTCTCCAAATCGGGGAGACAGTAATTATAAATCTGCATACTTTAACTAACGTGAATAACTAAACTTTGTTATCTCGATCCCCCCTCGTCACCCACAAAAGTACTACTCTAGACAACACAACTAATTTTGATAGATTTTTCAGCTAAATAGACATACATATACGCCACGCTAGAGACGTGTATTATCCATTTTAAACATTTATTTTCCATGAAACCTTCTCTGAATTATAAATTATATATTATTTATATTATTTATCACATCCCAGGGTTGCCATAGATTAGTTGAATTTGTGACGTCGCAAAAAGTGTCACAAGGCTAAACAGCAAATGTTTCCTTATAGGCTGTTTACATTGGGACTGCGCAGCTCTTTGCGCTGGGCGCGTTTTTACATAGGTTAGCAGGGCCCTAGTGGTGGCAAAAGTTGCGTCGGCCGATTTATGTGCGCTATTCGATATATTCGATTGCTTTGCGCAACTGACATTTTGCTTTCGCCTACAGCGCAACTACACCCTAAGAACAACAAAATGTACAAATTTGGCGCTAAAGGGGTGCAAGGTGATATACTAAACATGAATACTTGAAACGAGTATATATCATCACCCCGAGCCTAGACACGCGGAGACGAACCGGGTTTCATAATTTTAGAGAACTCCACCCTACAAGAAGCTGAAATATTATATAGAACAATTCCTTCGTCCATTTCCTGCGTCTTGCTAACTGTGTTCAATTGTTTACTTCCTTGTCACAAGCACCCAAACAAAATTCGACGCGCGTCTGCCAGTAAACGCCTTTTCTGCTTCATTGCGCTATTCCGATACGAAGCGACGCGCCCAGGTAAGGCTATTATATTGGGGGTACCTATTTTCGAATATTTCGTTTTTTTTTTAAATATGAAAAATACATTTCTGGACTTTATTCCAAAAGTTTGGGAGTTTGAGTTCGAGTTTGGGACAATTGTGCATTGGTGGATTAGGACAAGAGGGTGACGCGTAGTAGGCTTCGTTGTGTTTGCAGGAGCTTTGGGCAGCCAATCATAAAATACACCACTTTCCGCCTAGCCATCACGAAAATGTTGTCTTTATCAAGTTTACATTATTTAAACATCACACAAAACAATAAACCGGCAAAATCATTAATGGCATTCGCTGGAGAGCCTCGGAAATTCCAATCACGAAATGTCCAAAGAACTAGTTCCAATACTTTTTCAGCAACAAAAAACATTTAAATCTAAAACAAGCTGAATTTATATTCTTATTTATTTCTCTACGTTTGACTTTTCACCAATATTATTTCATATCCTTGTAAAGGGACCACAAAGCTACCCCACGCGCTTTCATGTTCTTTTTAAAAATACGATTTTCGGTTTTGGTGCCATATTTTGGGTTACGTTTAATTACTTAATATTATTTAATGTTACAAAAAGCAATTTCGACAATGAATCTTTAGCGATGTAGCATCGTTGATCTGCAAGCAACATTTTGAGAGCCGAAAACGATTTTTCAGGAACTGAATGCACCACTTTGGTCTGCTGGTATAAATGAGGATATCCGTATCGTTTTCTTCCCAATACTCCATAATATTGGAGGTCAAGCTAATTGGCTTTGGGATATAGCCGTCAATGTCAGCATATCCCTTCTTTATTTGGTCTGCTGGCTCACCATCTTCAGTTTCATCATCTGAAGCTACCTCAATGGTCTGCAAAAACTCGTTCCACAGCGAGCAGGTGTTTGAGCTTTGCGAAATAAATGGACGATGTTGATGCGTTTGAGTTAGGCGTACTTGAGCAAGGCTGCGCTATTGGAAAAGTCTGAAATGTATATATTAATAACTTATATGTTATATGAATTACACAAATACTAACCGGTTTTTTAAAACAAAAAAAATATCTTCAAAAATAGCTGCTTTAGTATTTAGTATTTAGTATTTTGCAGCAGCACTCGCCTTATCCTTGGATCCAAGTAAATTCTGCAAATGAATGCATCGCACGCCAATAGGCTCTCTTCCCGTTCACGGATGCACTGGCTCAAAGTTTGGCTTTCAGTTGTATTTCCTCCTGCAACACTGTGCTTCATCTCAAGCCATAGCTTCTAAAAGTCACCCATGAATAATTGAGTGCTTTGCAGCTTTTCTGTGGCAATGTACGCCGGTTCCAGGGTATCAACAAGCCATTTTTAATAACCCCACTCAGTTGCAGTGAGCTTCATTAAACATAATATTAGTTTATTTTTCTTGCACTGATATGTTGAATAATAAGCCAATAAAAAAATCTTAAAAGCTTCACAATTCGTCGTGCTTTGTCAATAAAATCGATCGATTCGAGGCGTTGTAAAAAATCCTATACAGCAAGTTGAAGGGTATGTGCTACCATTTTATCGAACTTACTCTGCCTCTTCTTCTTCGTCATCAACAGCGTCGCAACTATTTAGCAGTTCCACTGCCTTGACCATGTTTCGACCATTATCCGTCGTGATGGTATAAATTTCAGTGCAGAGGTTTTTGGATGTGTGAGATTTTTTCATCTATATCAGGCCCTTACACATATTTCACCGTGATCGATGAATTGGACATTTACTCCAAGTATTCCGCGTGTCCATTTTTAGGCAGAGGATTCTGTTTTTAAAGCTTTTTATCATTGCGCATTTAATTTTGTTGTATTTTTCCTCGACTAAGCTCATAACAATTCTCTACGTTACAGTGGTCATATCCAAGCCACTATTTTTATAGCTAACTAACGTAAAGTATATCAACAAACACAAACACGCCATCTCCAGGATCGGAATCAATTACGCCAAGGACAACGATTTTACGGAAAACTTCATGATGCGAGTAACTAAATTACCCAAAAGGATACGGACAGTGGTAAGGTTTAAAACTTCGAATAAATCAAAGCAGTCGTTTATTATAGTACCGCTCTCAAAAGCAAACGACTTTTCATTTAACTTATTAAAGGGCACTTTGAATTTGAACTCATATTGAATCAACCGCTCCCGTGGTGATGGGAATCTTTCGATATAAATTTGAACAGTGCTACAAAAATTCGCTAGGTGGCTCGTATGGATTTATGTATTGGAGCCACTGAACGACAGATGGTGCTGGCAGTAAATGGGGAAAAATCACATAGTGCTACTCAATTTTCTAGTTCGCTTCTTCAGCACTAGATGGCGTTTTCCAATATTTAAGCTGGCTAGAAAACTTAATTTAATCTTTTCTCCTGATGTGGCAGCTCCTTTTGGTAAAGTATTTAATGGCTATAAGCTCTTGTCAGATATAACGATAAAGTAATTTAAAATATGTTATGTGTTATGTTAATAATAAATGTTAAAGATTGCGCGAGAATATCACGGGTGAAGAGCATGAGAAATGGTCCATCCAACATGCGATGCCTTATCAAGTCCTTAAAGGAAAGGACTTCCGATTCCTCTAGGATGTACTCCATTGAAGGGCTGTTGCGGTCCGGAATCCATGCAGGAGCTATACTGTTAACAGTATACTGTCAATAAACTTAAAAGTATCTTTGCCAAATAAATTTAATAAGGATGAGGTCGACGGAAATATGTGACGTATACTCGTATATACGAATATATATACGTATATACTCGTATATACTCAATATACGACGACAAAAATTTCATGAAAATCAGACCAGCCGTTTGCGAGGAGCTCAGTCACAAACAACGTGACACGAGATTTTTACATATATATAATAATACCTATTGCTGCTTTGCAGCTCTCCATGTGTGATGCACCAAATTCTATTTCACACACAATGATCTCGTGATGGATATGTGGCCTTGTCTCCGGGAACTCGTTTTCTTAGTGAAGATCCGATCATTTTAAAGACTTTGGCTACCCTTCATGTGAGTAGTGTGTATCCGTAGATTCGGATGGTATGGTATGAATGAATGGTATCCGCGGGTCTAAAACAGCGTCTAATATATAGGTAATCCCTCGCCACTATATATGTATGTACATATAGGAATGTCTTCGTGGACATTCGTGGAGACGGCAGTCAGCGTCCATGGCACTCCTCCAAGCTAGACAATTATTTGTTTTCACAATGGAAAAATGGTGGTATGGTATCAATGGCATCGGTGGTTTTCGTACTTGTTCGGTTCACGTACCAAACTTTCCGTGTTTCATGTGCGCTTGAATAATATTGGTTGAAATTCACAAACAAACGAGAAGGAACGTGCGAGTCGCTTCTGGGGACGCGACTCTACTTATACCGTACTCAGTCAGCATATACATTTTTGAGCTTATGATTTTTTACAATTAAAAAAAAAATTTAACATTTTACAATTTTTTCCGTACATCTGTTATCTACATCTATATCTAAAATGTATAGTCAACATCTAACATGAAGATTCTAAATGTATCATTTAGATTCTACATCTCCTCCGCTAGAGGGCGCTCGCGTACATAACGAGGCAGAGTGTGCGAGCGAGAGAGAGAATGAGTCTCTTGCTGGAGGAGGCGGGAAAGCAACTTAAAATTAATTGTCTTCATTCTGGCTATAATTATGATCCGATCTGATTCAGCTTCGGAAATCTGCTAGATATGGTTTTTCTCTCCGATACGTATCTTTAAAGTTGTGCCTGCCACAGATTTTCGTCCTTTGTGGGGGTGGAAGGGCGCGGGGCGAAATTTTCAAATACACTTGTAGCAGTGTTATATCACATGAGTTTGTAAAACAAATTTGGTTGCCCTAACTCTTATAGTCTCTGAGATCCAGGCGACAAACAAGACGGACAGACAGATGTTGATCAAGAATATATATACTTTATGGGGTCGGAAACGTTTCCTTCTCTGCGTTACACACATCCACTTTTACCAAAAATCTAATATACCCCTTAACTCTTTTTTGAGTACGGGTATACAAACGAGATAAAGGAACAAAATATTCGGATAAAAGTGCGTAAAGCGGCAGTTGTAGTAAAATTCATGAGCCGCGGCAAAGTGCGTTGACTTGACACGGCCTCGCAAGGAGACACTTTTCAGTCTCGTCTAGTGCGGCTAGTGCTAGTGCTGGGATCATGATCATCTACATTTCGAGTGGTTGTTTGTTGTTCACCAAAGTTTGTGTCTTTGCTTCTTTTTTGCGGAAGAATTTCAACTATTTGTAAATTAATTGAGAATGGATGCTGCGCGAGGCTATTGACTCGATTCAAGGATTTTCTAGGTAAATTTTAAAAACAAAACATTGAACTTTATTTTGTTCGCAGTTTCGGTTTTCGTTTTCTTTTTGGCTTCGGTTTCGATTTCATTTTCAGCTGTGCTTACATTATGCGCCCCCTCGGACTGAGCAGCACAACATGAAGGGGTGTAATCAACGAAACTTTTCAGTTGCTAATTAAGTTGGAAACTCTCTGGCGGATGATGAATCTCTCGGCTCGTCGCGGCTTCCGTCGCTTATTATGTGGCTAGAGGGACAGCGGGGAAGAGGCGGCCAGCATATGCAAAATGCCAACACGTTCCCCGAGATCTTTGGAGTGATCACTGCATCGATATGCAAATGATTGCCAAATTGTCGTCTCGAAGATGCCAGAAATTGTTTTTGGTTTCGGTTTCGTTTCTGGGGCTGCTACTGCTGTTGGTATTGCTACTGGTAGGGCCACGGCTGGGCCCTTTGAGCTGGGCCCAGAAAGCGGGTCACGCTGAGCTTCCATTCAGCGATTGCCAATCGATGCTGGCGGCACCCTAAAGCCAAAGCTTGTGCTTAGAAAAGGGAAATTTTAATACCCTTTCCGAATACGTACATATGTAGATTTGTATATTATTGTTTAATGTGTATGCCCATTTCATTTAAGCTCTTTTCTGAAAATATAAATATAAAACAAAGCTTTAATATTTATTGGAAATACACGAAATACATAAATAAATATTATGGGTGACATTAATTTACGCTGAGCAATTATCTCCTTTGAATCCAAGTTCGCATTTCTAGAGTTACGTTACATCTTGGAAATTGAAGTGTACCCTACAAAAAGTTTCCAAAAAATGTAACCAATTTCTGTCAAAGGTTCTGAGTGCTTATCGCGCAGATCGGACGGTGGTGCAAAGCGCTGCTTATTCATTTGAATGCCACAAACCGTGTTGCTGCCTGTAACCGACAGTGTTGTTGGTGTTGTTTCTGCGGCTTGCACTTTGGCTGACACTTTATCGAGAGTTCAAGTACATTTGGAGTTGAGTCGTTTTCAGGCCTGACAAATATTTGGTAATTGTGCAATCAAATTGGTCGATGCCTCCCGGAACCCCTTTACCTGGAGACTCATCAGCCACAAAAGACATCGCACAGTGTTCGTTGGCTCGTTCCTGTTTTACATAATTACGACTTTGGTAGGTTAATAAATAAGAAAAGTGCACCACTCCGCCTCGTGGGCCCAGCCCCGCTCGGGGTGTCTGTTGCAGACGAGGGCGTTGCTCTAACAAGCATGAACGAGGAAAACGGCCGGAGGCTCTATCTTCAAGATACTCTTCCAGATTCATCGTTCCTATGCGACGTACCACTGTGACCCGATATTGATCCTATTTTATTCAGTAAGTACATATGTTTGTACCTGCAGTTGGGCTATTATTTTCACCCACTGTGATCAAATGTGCTTCAGAACTGACAGGCCTCCCAGAAATGTCATCATGCTCTCTAAAAGGGTATCAAAGCGCGTCGTTGCCTCTAGCTCCATTTTCATTTTTACATACACACATATGTATGTACCTACTATATGTGTGCGTGAGTGGGTGTTACAGTTACCTTTGGTGTTGTTATTGTTTTTGCTGTTGCTGCCGATGAATCACGCGTGATATATCGCAGTTGTAGTTTGCGAACTACTCGTATTGTAATGGTCTGCCGGTCCTCCGCAGCCACCCATTGCCAGTGGACTTTGAGCCCCGCCAACGGGTTGACATTTTCATTATGGAACCTTTTCTACGTCTCCCTCCTGGGGCTGTGGCCATGCCATGTCTTTTCTCGCTCTTTCTCGCGCCCCACTGCCACCGGCGACGACAAGTACACTTAGGTGGGGCTGGGCGGGAGGGCGTGGCCAGCTTTGGCACTCACTGAAGCGATTTTCAATGCGTTGACAGTTCAGGTTGTCAATCGTTTTGTGTCTTCTAGTGTAGGTGTTACAACGGGTGACTTGCTGGTCGGCGGGGCCGTGGCCTGTGATTAAGCCGTGAAATGTCATTGAAGGCATTTCAATTGTCAAGAACCCAGGGATTAGCATAGACAGAACGAATTGTGCATGAAAATGGAATCGTTAAACGTTAAATTGAAAAAGTTGAATAAAGTACACAAAATAAACATGGAACAGCAAAAAGCTTAGTTCGTGTTATTTTTGTAGTTATATTAAAACAGAGATGCAAGGACAGGTGCTTAAGCAAATAATTAATGGGACGGTTAAAGAATGTTAGATCCATTTTTTATTCGTGCAAATCTATTTACTTTGTTGAGCAAAATTCATATAAAATAAAAGATCACTGGCCAGTTCAGTATATTAGCATATATGTATGTATGTCACATAAATTGATCGATTTTACACCGATATTATTATACCCGACGGGGGGGCCGACTTGACAGCCACGGGCGCGGCGCGCGGGGGGGGGGGGGGCCCCCGGGCGGGGCGGCGATAAACGCAGTATCGTAGAGAATAACCATATCTACCAGATTGCCGAATCTGAATCAGATCGGATCATAATTATAGCCAGAATGAAGAAATTCATTTTCAGTTGCTTCCCCTTCCCCCTCCGGCAAACGACAACACAACTCATTTTCCTTCTCGCTCGCACACTCTGCCGCGTTCAGTGCGCGAGCAACCCCTAGCGGAGGAGATGTAGAATATGAATGGTACATCTATAATCTACATGTTAGATGTAAAATATACATTGTAGATGTAGATGTAGATAACAGATGTAGCAAAAAAATGTAAAATGTAAAATTTTTTTTTCTAAAATTCTAAAAAATCATAAGCTCAAAAATGTAATACTGACTGAGTACGGGTATAAGTAGAGTCGCGTCCCCAGAAGCGACTCACACGTTCCTTCTCGTTTTAATTTGGTTCTTTAATGATTTCAGCACCTTCATAACAATAACGTCATTATTTGATAACTTATCCACATCCAATAACAACCTGAGCCTAATCTCTAAAATTGCATTATTCCCCCCAAAGCAATCACATAACAGAAACTACATATAGCCACAACATCAACAGCACAGCACCTTCGGAAATAGCACACAAAATGTCCAACATCAAATTTCAATTATCGGAATGGCATGGCAGAAGGAAGCCAGCCGAGAGCAAAAGGCGAGGCGACCCCAAGAGCAGTAGAGCACCAAATGCCATAGCAAAACATGAACAAGTGTCTGGAATCGGGGAGAAAGAAGCAGCAGCAAAAATGAAAATTCAGTCAGGGAAACAATCGCAACAGCTACGTACAGAGCAGGCAGGCAGCAGCTGGCTGTCTCTGGAGGCAAACTCTGTTAAACGGCCACGAAAAGTGATTTTCACATGGGCAATTAATGTTTCAATAAACGATATTCTAGCAACAACAAATTTGTAGCACCAGCAACTGGACTGCTGATGCTGATGCTGCTGCTGCTGCCGCCGTTTCATGTTGCATGCAGCACTCCGGCTGACTCGCCACCGCCCGCCACTAGCCAGGAGTGGAAAATGTTATTGAAATTGGCTTTTTATGTTTATGAAAACGGCCGCTGAACTGCTCCCTGCTCTCTGGATGGGGAGTGTTTGCATTTGGCTCGAATTCCCATCGCCATTCATACACCCACACTCTTATTCCTGATCCCGATCCCGATCCCAATCCCAATCCAATTTCCATTCCGATTTCGACTCTCGTTAATTACTGCCATTTTCAATCGTATTTATGCTCACGCCTCGCTCACGTTTTGGCCATCAACGAACTCCAACACTCCTACAGGGAGCATCTTGGGCGCGTGCAGTGCGTGAAAATGTTGGCTAATTGCCCGTTTTATAGCCAATTTTGCTAAATTTGTGGGCGAGGATGCATGTATCGGGTCTGCGCGGATAAACAAACACAAATTATGTTATTGTTCCTGAAAAATCTTGTTGCCAAGATCCCCGTTCCCCTCCACCCAAAAGGGGGTAAAGCTAAATGTTTGATTTCTAGCGAATTGCGAATGGGTTTCCCGTATCAAATAAATCCAGTCTAAATGGATGGAAGAGAGTCTTATGCCG